AGCCAGAACAATTAGACAAGAAAAAGAAATAAAAGGCATCCAAATTGAAAAGGAAGAAGTAAACTGTCACTACTTGTGGATGACATGATTCTACATATAGAAAACCCTAAAGAATAAACCAAAAAACTATTAGAAATAAATAATGAATACGGAAAAGTTGCAGGGTACAAAATCAACATACAAAAATCAGGTGCATTTCTACTTTTTTTTTGTGTGTGTGAGGAAGATCAGCCCTGAGCTAACATCCGTGCCAATCCTCCTCTTTTTGCTGAGGAAGACTGGCCCTGGGCTAACATCCGTGCCCATCGTCCTCCACTTTATATGGGACGCCACCACAGCATGGCCTGACAAGCAGTGCATCGGTGCGCGCCCAGGATCCAAACCCAGGCTGCCAGCAGCAGAGTGCACGCACTTAACCACTACGCCACGGGGCCAGCTGTATGCATTTCTATACACTAACAATAAGCTAGCAGAAAGAGAAATCAGGAATACAACCCCATTTACAATTACAACAAAAAAGAATAAAATACGTAGGAATAAATTTAACAAAGGAGGTGAAAGACCTATACACCAAAAACCAGAAGACATTAATGAAAGAAACTGAAGAAGACACAAAGAAATGGAAATATATTCCATGATCACAGACTGGAAAAATAAACATAGTTAAAATGTCCACAATACCTAAAGCAATCTACAGATTCAATACAATCCCATTCAGAATCCGATTCACATTCTTCACAGAAATAGAACCAAGAATCCTAAAATTCATATGGAAAAACAAAACAGCCCAAATAGCGAAAGCAATCCTGAAAAGACAAGAACAAAGCCAGAGGTATTGCACTCCTTGAATTCAAAATATTCTACAAAGCCATAGTAATCAAAACAGCACAGTACTGGCAGAAAAACAGACACACAGATCAATGGAACAGAACTGAAAGCCCAGAAATAAAACCACACATCTTTTGACACCTAATCTTCAACAAAGGAGCCAAGAACATACAATGGAGAAAGGAAAATCTCTACAATAAATGGTGTTGGGAAAACTGGACAACCATACGCAAAAGAATGAAAGTAGACCATTACCTTACACTATACACAAAAATAAACTCAAAATGGATTAAAGACTTGAATCTAAGACGCGAAACCACAAAACTCCTAGAAGAAAATATAGGCAGTATGCTTTTGGACATCAGTCTTAGCAGCATCTTTTTGAATACTATGTCTCCTCAGGCAAGGAAAACGAAAGAAAAAATAAACAAATGGGACTACATCAAACTAAAAAGCTATTGCACAGCAAAGGAAACCATCAACAAAACCAAAAGACAACCCAAACTGGGAGAAAATGTTTGCAAATCATACATCTGACAAGGAGTTAATTTCCAAAACATATAAAGAACTCATACAACTCAACAACAAAAAAATCAAACAACCAGATCAAAAAATTTGAAGAGGATCCAAACAGAAATTTTTCCCAAGAAAATATACAGATGGCCAAAGCCACATGGAAAGATGTTCAACATCACTAATTATTAGGGAAAAGCAAATCAAAACTACAATGAGATATCACCTCACATCCAATAGAATGGCTATTATTAAAAAGACAAGCAGGGGCCGGCCCCGTGGCTTGGTGGTTAAGTGCACGCGCTCCGATGCTGGTGGCCCGGGTTCGGATCCCGGGGGCGCACCGAGACACCACTTCTCCGTCCATCCTGAGGCCGAGTCCCACATACAGCAACTAGAAGGATGTGCAGCTATGACATACAACTATCTACTGGGGCTTTGGGGGGAAAAAAATAAATAAATAAAATCTTTAAAAGACAAGCAATAACAAGTGTTGGAGAGGATGTGGAGAAAAGGGAACCCTCATACACCACTGGTGGGAATGCAAACTGGTGCAGTCACTGTGGAAAACAGTATGGAGATTTCCCAAAAAATTAAAAAGAGAAATTCCATATGATCCAGCTCTTCCACTTTTGGGTATTTATCCAAAGAACACTAAAACACGAATTCTAAAAGATATATGCAGCCCTATGTTCATGGCAGCATTATTAACAATAGCCAGAACTTGGAAGCAACACAAGTGCCCATCAGCAGATGAATGGATAAAGATGTAGCAAATATATACACAATGGACTACTACTCAGCCATAAAAAAAAGACAAAACCGTGCCACCTGCAACAACATGGATGGACCTTGAGGGTATTACGCTAATGGAAATAAGTCAGACAGAGAAAGAAAAATACCATGTTATTTCTCTCATATGTGGAAGATAAACAAACAAACATATAGATAAGGATAACAGATTGGTGGTTACCAGAGGGAAAGGGGGTGTGGGAAAGGCAAAACGGGTAAAGAGGCACATATGTATGGTAAAGAATAAAAACTAGACTATTGGTGATGAACATGATGCAGTCCATACAGAAGCTGAAATATAATAATGTACACCTGAAATTTACACAATGTTATAAACCAACGTCATCTGAATGATTAAAAAAAAAAAAAAACTCTTGCAACAAATTAGGTATAGAAAACATGTACTTCAACATAATATATGTCATATATGATAATCCCACAGCCTACAAAGAATTCAACGGTAAAAAGCTAAAAGCTAAAAAAGAAGACTGAAATAAAAAAAAAGCTAACAGCTTGTCCTCTAAGATCAGGAACAAGACAAAAATAGCCACTCTCTCATCACTTCTATTCAACATGGTACTGAAGTCCTAGAGAGCAATTAGGCAAGAAAAGAAACAAAAGGCATCCAAACCAAAAAAGAAAAAGTAAAATCATCTCTGCAGATGACATGATCTTATGTATAGAAAACCCTAAAGACATCCCCCCAAAAACTGTTAAAACAAATTCAGTAAAGTTGCAGGATACAATATCAACATACAAAAATCACTTGCATTTTGTACATTCACAACGAACTATCTGAAAGTGAAAGGAAGACAGCAATCCCAGTTATAATAACATCAAGACCAATAAAATACTTAGGAATAAATTTAACCAAGGAGTTGAAAGATTCACTGAAAAGTATAAAACATTGAGGAAGGAAAGTGAAGAAGACTAAAATAAATGGAAAGATATCCCATACTCAGGAGATTTAATATTGTTTAATATTGTTAAACTGGCCATAATACAAAAGCAATCTACACTTTGCATGCAATTCCTATTAAAATTCCAATGCTTTTTTCACAGAAATAGAAAAAACATACCTAAAAACTGAATGGAACCACAAAAGAACATGAATAGCAAAAGCAATCATGAGACAGAAGATCAAAGCTGGAGGCATCGTATTCCTGATTTCAAACTATCTTACAGGCTGTAGTAATCAAAACAGTATGGTACCGGCATAAAAACAGACAGACCAATGGAACAAAACAGAGAGAGCCCAGAAGTAAACACAAGCATATACAGTCAACTAACCTTTGACAAGGGCACCAAGAACACACAAGGGGGAAAGGATAGTCTCTTCAATAAACAGTGCTGGGAAAACTGGATAGGCACGTGCAAAAAAAATGAAATGGGATCCCTATCTTATAACATGTATGAAAATGAACTTGGAATGGATTAAAGACTTAAATTTAAATGTATGAAGTAAAACCCTAAAAATCCTAAAAGAAAACATAGAGAAAAGGCTCCTTGACATTGTTCTTGGCAATGGTATATAGGCAACAAAAGTTAAAATCAACAAGTAGGACTATTTCAAATTATTGTGGAGAAAAGAGAACTCTTGAACACTGTTGCTGGGAATATAAATCAAAGCAGTAATTATGGAAAATATTATGGAGGGTCCTCAAAAAATTTAAAATAGAACTTCCATATGATCCACCATTCCCACTTCTGGGTATATATCCTAAGGAAACAAAATCAGTTTCTCCCAAGAAATATCTGCCTGTGCATACTCACTGCAGCATTATTCACAATAGCCCAGACAGGGAAACACTGTGAAGTGTCCATCAATGGATAAACTGATAAAGAAAATGTGGTACAAACATTCACAGGACTATTCAGCCATATAAAAAGAAGGAAGAATTGGCACTTGCAACAACATGGATGAACCTGGAGAATATTATGCTCAGTGAAATAAGTCACACAGAGAAACAAACACTGTATGGTATTACTTATATGTAGAATCGCAGATAAAAAGTGACACTCACAGAAACAAAAAGTAGAATGCCAGAAGCTGAGGGCTAGGCAAATAGGGAGATGTTGGTCGAAAGGTACACACTTTCATTTACAAGATGAATAAGCTCTGAGGATCTAAGGTACAGCATGATGCCTAGAGTTAATCATACTGTACTGTACACTTGAAATTCGCTAAGAGAGTAGATCTTAAGTTTTCACCAAAAACAAAAACAAAAAAGATATTAGCTCAGGTGACAAACGCATTAATTAACATCATTGTGGTAATTCTTTCATAATGTCTATGTTATCCAGTCATCATGCTATGCACCTTAAATACATCTAATTTTGTCAATCATACTTCAATAAAGCAGAGTGAGTGGGAATTGGGGGGCAGGGAGAAGAAGAGGTAGAAACTCTATAAAAAGTACCTGATAGGATAGTCTTGAAAAGTAGCCCATGGCCCAGGTAAGTAGTGACCATGACAAGTCCTGCAATTCCTGACACGGGCAGGTCCTAGGAAATGTCAGCCAAAGGAAGGCAGCAAACCCTGTCATACACATAGAAGTGCCATGGAGCTGGACACGTTCATCTGCCCAGGGAGAGGGCAAGCAAGGTGCCATCCGTTAGCCTCACTCCAAGACTAATGAACTGGAATCCTCTCTCTGAGGGTTCAGTACAGAGGGTATTGGGGCTGCAGGGCAGAGAAGAGGGCACTGCAACACCCCAGCCCCAGCCACACAGCTACTACCCAGAAATACAGCACAGGATGTAGTGCCCACAGTTCACATGTGAGAAGGACAGAGCACCTCCTGGGGAAAAGGAGTGGGGGAAATGCAGAGTCTAGTCCAGGTCAATCGGGAGGGAGAGGGCCTTACCCAGTGAGGATATGAGGGCAAAGTTCTCCAGCATCACATCCTGGTACAGGCGTCTCTGAGCCTCACCAAGGAGCCTCCATTCCTCCCAGGAGAAGTACACGGCAACATCGTGAAAGGTCACACTGGCCTGTAATGACGGGGACAGATCAAATTATCATTCTTTCTCTGAGGACCCCACACATCCACCTCACTCTCACCCTCCACCAGAGCTGCCCCCGCCTAGAGCAGAGACCAGGCCCTGGTGCCACTGATACCCACTTTCTCCTCACCATCCCATTCATCACTGTGTTCAGCCCTCAGCAATAACAGGCAGAGGGACACATAGATGCCATTTAAGTTCTGGGCCCAGCCTGCACGGTCCCATCCCTCCCGCCAAGCAATTCCCCTGGGGTCTCCCAGATTGTGCCTCCAAGACACAGTCAAACAGGGGCTCATGCTTCACTCTTAAGTCCCCAACAGCAGTGCCCCCAGGGGCCATTAGCTCACATTTCCTCTCAATGTGCACATCACTCTGTAGACCCGGCTCACATCTTCAGACCCCACAGTTGCCCTCCCACAGCTCTGCCACCTTCCTGCTCCACACCTAGGATTCTCCCCGAACTCACCCATGAACTGGCACATGGCAACCAGACATTGCTTGACAAGTTCAAACAGGATCCAGTACAACCCCAGTCCTCCGACGGATTCCGATACCAGGAAAAGCCTCAAATGTTGCTTAGAAGACCTGTCCACCCGCCTCTAATCCTCTTTTCCATACTGGCCATCCAGAACCACACGTAAATTTCACATACCCACGATCCTCTTCCATTTCTGTGCTATACTTGTTGGCCCTTGATCATCCACAACCCTCCTCTTTCCACTTGACCTTTGTTAAAACCCCAACCCAAAGGGCTCCCGGCCAGACACAGTGCCTCTCACAAATGACCACATTTGCCTCAAACTTTACCCTCCAGCAAGACGGAAACACCCCACACTCCACCAAAGCTCACCACACAATTCTGGTGAAGCCGAACGGTACTGAATAAACAGCAGTCCCAGCCTCCTGTCATCTTGTTTCAATTAGTCCTCTGCTTCCACAGCCATCTCTGTCCACTGATCCCATGGAAGCCTAGGCCACCTGCCAGATCATTCTCTCCCACTCCGTTCCCACTAGCACTTCTCTCCCTCACGTGTGTTTGAGGCCCAGCAACCCCACCCAGGTGCTGAGAAAGGGAACCACTCCTCAGCACACACTCTAATCTTTCTGACCTGCTAACAGCACTACCACTATAACCTGCATTCGCCTCCTCAACGTGACGCACAGCTCCAACCTGATCCACACAATAGTCATCGTATTTGAATGTCTCCATCCTGAACCTTTCCTCAGACTTCCAGACCTGCTGGTCCAGCTGCTCACTTGATGCCTCCACTCACTGTTCTCCGGAACGTCTCAGACTCTTAACAGGGCCCAAACAAAACCTCTGACAGTCCCAAGGAGAACTAACCTACTGCCAACTTCCCCATTCCAGTTGATAGAGCTTCCATCACTTCAGCTGCCAGGACCAAAAACCCTGGGGTCATCCCTGATTCCTCCCTTTCTCTTCTGACCCACAACACCCACAATTCGCTTTGGCCCTTCTTTAAAAACGGATCCAGAATTCAATCACTTATCCCACATCCATGGCGGGTCACTCTAGTCCATCAACACTCACCTAGATTATTGCAATTACCTCCTGCTGTGCTCCCTGCCGCCTCCCTTACCAGCCCCCCCTCCGCCAGTCTGTTGTCTATTCTGCAGCCACATGGAGCCTATTTAGACCTGGGTAACACCACCTCCTTCCTCTGACTCAAACTTCACATTAACTCCCTAACAGATAGCCGGCTTCTCAAGAAGCGACGTTCCAGACCTGACCCTGGCCCCCGCTACATTTTGCTCCTAACAAAAAAATGAAGCTCTCTGTACCCCGTTCCCACCTCAGGCCGACCTCCACGCCTCTCCCCCGCGGGCCCTCCCCTGGGACCCTCTCCCACACCCGTCACGCCGGCTCTCACAAACAGGCCCCACGAGCGCCTCCCCGTCCCGGACACCGGGGCCTGGGCTGCAGGCCCGTGAGCGGCGCCCGCACTCGGGGCTCTAGGGCTGGGCTGGGCTGAGGGCGGGGAGGGCGCGGAGCACGAGCACTGACCTGAGCCGGCTCCCTCCGCGCGGCCGCCGCCATCGGACTCTGGGGGCGGAGCTCCCGATCCCCAATTGGTGCCGGTCACCCGGGGTGCGCCGCCCCCAAGCCTGAGACCTGCTAGTGCAGCGCCGACGGCGCCTCCTGTCGCGCCTTCTTGGTCACCTCTCCTCAGCTCCCACACATGGCTCGGGAGCCTGAACTGAATAACCAGCTGCGTACACACCGCCGAGAGGAGGACGCCGGAACTCCCGCCCCCAACACTTGTGCCCAAACAGAGATGCCTTTTTTCTGAGCCTTTATTGGCTCAGCGATGCCATCCCTTGTTGCAGCGCATCCTGGGTAATGTAGTGCCCACAGCCCAGGTTTAGAAGCGGAAGTTCTCCACGTGACTCCAGGAGGAAAGGCCAAGATCCACTGGGAGCGGCGTCGGAAAATGACACTTCTGTCTCTAAGGGCAGAGGAGTGGTTCATCTCTTCTTAAAGGCGCCGTATGCGGATTTCTGGGGACGGCTTTCTGCCACTGATCACCCCAGCTTTCAGGCCATGAATCAGGATGACAAATCTTTCCCATTAGGCCATGGGGGGCAATGCAAATTGGCCCAAAATTCACGTGCCGTTTTCTGTCCTAGTACTGTTCCCTCAGAGGCACACAAAGTTTGAGACTTGATGGGTATCAGAATTGGCCTGACCTCAAAATATGTCTCTTTACCTTGATTATTTTCTGAAAGACACTTTGACACCCCCCCACCCCCCTAACTGCCTAAAAGGATTTAAGATAGAAAGCCTTTCACAATAGATAACTCCCAGTATGGATAGACTGGGAGGGTCCTTGCTAAGCCCATTCTTATTAAAAGTCTGTTTACCAAACATTTACATTTGTAAGGGAAATTTCCACTTGTAAAGGTATCTCCCTCTCCCTGTGGGAAGAAGGGGGGATGACTTCATCTCTAGAAACTTGTCAGTGCAGAAGGGGAGGCCTTAAATCTGCGTAATAACCTTACTCTTGTTTACTGTGCTTTTCTGGTAATCTCCCATAGCTAACACCCCCCAACATCCTCCTTTGTCTTTACCTGACTGAATATGCTATTTAAGAAGAGAACCTCCACTATTTGTCGAGATACTCAGTTTCCCTGGGTCTCTCCCATGTATACATGTTATAAAGCTTTGTTTGATTTTCTCCTGTTATTCTGTCTCATGTGAATTTAATTTGTAGCCCAGCCAGAAAGGACCCAAAGTGGGTAGAGGATAGTCTTCCTCCCCTACAGACTCCACAAAGGTTGTAATTGCAGAGGCCAAATCTGTTTATAAACCACCTCACACAGTGAATAGAACCCCCAAGAAAAAGATGACTTATCAGTAAGGCCTTTCTTATGGTACAACCTCAATCAATGTGCAGCAGTGATACAGACCCTGGGTTCTTAGGCTTTCTGTGTAATAGAAATTGGTGAGAGGCCCAACCAAAGTCTCAGACAAGGTTTTATTGCTTGAGCACAAGGGAGACAGCACAGGAGAAGATCCTCTATGGCTGGCTCCCCATCCTGAGTCTCTTATCGCATGAAGGGAGTGGACTGGTGTCATGATTCTCTGCCTCCCCAGCGGTGTTCTGCTTCCCTGTTCCTGGTGGTGTCGTCTTCACCTGCCCCTTTGGGGTTGTGGGACCTTCGCCTGCCCAGTTGGTCCAACATGGCAGTGTTGCTCACTACTGCCGCCCCAGGAAGTCCCTCCCTACTCCCCCTTTTTCTCTATAAAAGGAGCTCCCCTTCTTTGCTTCCTGGATTTGCCTATGGTTTGCCATAGCATGCACATCTTGAATTGCAATTCTTTTGGCTATTCCCAAATTAACTCATTTTTGAAGGTAAAATAATAAGTGAATTTGCTTTCTAAGTTAATAAGAAATTACACATTCCCTGTGTAACTGAGGTCTGTCTCCAGTGTGAAGTCTCCAATGATAATTGACGGTGGAGCTACAGATAAAAGATTTCCCACGTTCACTACACTCATAAGACCTTTCTCCAGTGTGGACACCCTGGTCCTGAACAGGAGAGTGTTTGCAGCTGAACAATTTCTTGCGTTCCCTCCAGTTCTGATGACATTTTTTGCCAACTTCATATTCGGTGATTTTGTTTGGTCTCTCCCCGGTATGAGTGGCCTGCTTATACAGATATCCTGAGGTGGCCGGGAAGAACCTTCCCAGCTCCCAGCCTCCACACAGGTAAAGGGCTTCCTGGTCACATGGAATTTGAAGCTCTTCACAAATGAGGCCCTGTCCATGTTGCCTCTGAAGTGTTTCACCAACGTGCTGCTCCTGGTGACATTGAAGGTTTCACTGAAATAAAATTGTTGGGTACATGCTGCTCTCTTGTAAACACTTTCTGCCCATGATGTTTTCCTGGGGCTCAGCCAAGTATAAAATGTGTTTCAAGATGGGGACACACATCTCACAGGGATGGACCTTTGGATGAAGGGACCTGCCTTGGGAGTCGTGACCTTCTACAGAAACATCGTTCAGAAGGTACCTCTTTGTTCTCTGCTCTGGGCCAACAACCTGAAAGCACAACAACCTGAAGGTGACTGTGAAGTACCTGTTGATGTTGTTGGAAGGAATGAGTCTACACTGACTCATTGAATTATATCCAGGTAAAATACTCCATTGAATTGTATCCAGGAGTGAGTCTATGGGATGCTTTTCAAGAAGTCGGAGTGGGGGTCTGGTTGTGCGTTACTGGGCCCATACAGTCAAGGAATGGTAGAGGCCTCACCAGCGGAAGGGCACAAGGACAGGGTGTCACACAGGGAGACGAGACAGGTCTACAACTCCTTCCTCCACCAAAGGCTTTCACAGGAACTTGTGTGCTGGTGACATGTACGGCTGTCCAGAGACATGTCAAACCCAGGAAAGTCCAATTGCAACAAAGTAGCAGGAGTTCAAGGCCAATTTAAGGATATGTGTACACCACACGGCACAACACAGTGGGCGAATGGTGGAGAGCCCTGCAGAAGCAGTGCTGAGAGAAACGGGTCAGATGTGGAGTCTGGGGAGGTGGAGATTATCCCTGGGCTGGAAGTCACAGAGAAAATGACGAGTAGTAGAATTGACAACTTGGCAAAGTGTCGATATGGGGACGGAAAGGTAGAAAAGTAGAAATTGGGTGTGGCCACTGGCAGTGGCACCAAAACTCTGACAGGACAGGTTCCTGCTATGATATGAACATGAGCCTGATGTCACACCCTCCCCAACTGCCACTCACCAGGGCCATGCCCCCTCTGAGCCCACCGTGCCATGGCTGGAGTCACGTCCATCCTGTGAAGCACAAAGGACTCTTCCCTGTAAGGTCTAGTTGGACAACTACATGGAACGTGGAGGGCACAGTTACTGAAGGAAAACCCAAACAGGTGAGTGGCCAGCAGTGGCCCAGAGCAACTCAGCACACAACAGATCACAGGAAACAGGTCTGAACACTACAAAGAGAACCATACAGGAGGTCTTGAAAAACGGCTCATGGTCTAGGCAAGTAGTGACCATGAGAGTGCATGTAATTCCTCCCACAAACCAGCATGAGGAAACATCAGCTAAAGGAAGGGAGAACACCTGGGGTCCAGAGGTGCCATGGATCTGGACACAGTCACTGGCCAGGGAGAGGCAAGCAAGGTTGGCTCCATTAGGCTCACTGTAAACTTTTGATCCTGAATCTTTCCCTATGGGGCTTCTGGGCAGCAGAGATTGGGCTGCAGGGGAGGGAAGAGGCCGGTGCAAACAACCAGCCCTGTCAACCACAGCACCTACCCAGGGAAATGGGAAAGGAAGCAGTGCCCATGGTCCTGATGTGAGCAGGACAGATCACCCCCTGGGGAAAGCAGGGCAGGGGAAGGGGGGATGCAAAGCCTAGACCAGGTCACTGGGGAGGGTGTGAGTGCCTTGCCTAGTGAGGATACGAGGATATAGGTGACAAGTTCTTCAGAATCACCTCATAGTACAGGTGTCTCTGAGCCTCATCAAGGAACCCCACTCCTCCCAGAAATACGCAAGCGTGTCCTCACATGTCATAGCACCCTGTCATGATGGGGATAGATGAGATGAAGAGCAGCCGCTCTGAGGACCCGCATCCATACTCACCTTCCTCCAGAGCTCCACATCTCAGAGGAGATGCCAGTCCTTGGTGCCACTGATGCCCACGCTCTCCTTGTGGTCCCATTAACACCCTGCTCAGTGCTCAGCAACAACAGGCAGGTGGGCAGATAGACACCATCAAAGCAGTTGGCCTGGACTGCAGGGCCCAACCTCTCCTGCCAAGCAATAACCCTGGGGGCCCCAATATCATGACTCCCAGACACAAGGCAACCTGGCTTCACAATTCGACCTCAATCCCCAAAAGCAAGCCCCTGGGGCCATCAGCTCACACTTCCTCTTGATGTGCACATCATTCTGTAGACCATATCTCTCTCACGTATTCAGACCCCAGAGTCACCCTCCAACAGCCACCACCACCTCCCCATCCCACAACATAAGCATCTCCCTGGAGTCACCCATGGACTTGGCACATGGCATCCAGAGGGTGCTTGACAAATTCAAACACAATCCCTCATAACCCCACACCTCTGATGGATCCCAATGCCAGGGAAAGCCCAAATGCTGCTTTGAAGGCCCCCCTGCCTGCCTTTGATCCTTTCTCCAGTATTAGCCACCCAGAACCACATGTGAGTTTGAGACACCCATGACCCTCTTCCACTTCTGTGTTGAACTTGCTGTTCCCTCAGCAGCCACAACCCACTGCTCCCCACGAAAACTTCATTTAAATCCAAGCCCCACTGGTCTCCATGACAGGCATAGTGACTCTCACAGATGACGACCTTTGCCCCTGACCTTATCCACCAGCAAGACTGAGACACCTCAGACCCCAACAAAGCTCACCACACAATTCTATTGATTCCGTACAGTAGTGAATAACAGCAGCCCAGACTCAGTGTCATCTTGTCTCAATTTCTCCTATGCCTCTGTATCCACCTCATGTCCGCTCACCCCGTGGAAGCATCGGTCATCTGCCAGACCATCCTCCCCACTCATCTACCCCCTTTATGTCCACTAATTTCCATCAGCTCGGTTTGTGCTCACCACCGTCAACCA